ATGCATTGGTGTCTTCAGCATCCATAACGAAGCATTCACTGGGAAGGTGTTGTGAATGCATGGTGGCGTAGGCTCTTTGCATGTGATTCGGGACGGTGTGCTTTTGGCCGAATAGACATGAAAAGCATACAAGCAGTACACTGATGACGCTGCTAAAGCAGCAACAGCAACAACACCAACAACTCCTGCAGTCACCATACTTCTAGCGCCAAAATCATAAGCTACAGCATCATATTACTCTTCGTCATGATGATGATGACGATCGTCATCATCATCATCATCATCATCAAGGCTGCTTGGCAGAACTTCAACAACGCTACTCAGTAGTGGTTGGATTTCCCGACTCTGCTGTGCTATGGATATCAATAGATGGGTGTATATAAATACATATATAAATATATGTATATATGTGTATGTATGTACAATATACGGTAACAACCACTATACCGTATGATACTACAACATCTTGTATAAGTGCACTTCATTACATACATACGTACATATATATATATATACGTATGTACATACACACATGCACATGTGTGTATACACACCCAGAGACAACATGTATGTGCAACATGTATGTAGTATGTATGTATGTATGTATGTATGTATGTATGTATGTACAAATGTATGCATGCATGCATGCATGCATGCATGCATGTATGTATGTAGGCTGGCAGGCAGGCAGGTAGGTAGGTATGTACATTTATATATGTACACACATATATATTATTTCATCATGCTCTGTGTGATATGTGTGTACTTTTGTGATCATGATTTTTAGTGGCGCAAAACGTCAAGAGCGTTTTTGGATTGACGGTACTGCCAGGGCGCCACTTCCCATGGCCGTGACGAGGAGCGGGAACCGTGGAAAGGAGTATTCCGGAATGGTTCCTGCATCAAGCCGTATTTACTTCAGCCCCTTTATGGCAACATCACCTTGGGAGCGAGCTACCCTCATTGTAAAAGAGGCTGCCAGAGTCATCCAAACGAAGGTGGTGACACGAAGAGGGGTGGGTTCACGGAGTTGCAGTAGTGGAACTCTCGCGATCTGCTTGGAAGCGGTTTAGCCTCAAGCATGCTGTTTGCCAAAAGCGATCCATTCATATGTCTGGCATCATGAGCACCATGCTGGCCTTCACATCGCTGCTGCTGTTGGTAAGCAGCCACCGCGTCATCGGCTTGCGAAGAGGCGGCTTGGAATCGAAGGGACTCAGGGTCAGTAACACGGGGTCCCTGAAGCACGAAATATCTGATATTAACATCTGTATGAATCTATGTATGTATATGTATGTGTGTATATATATATGTATCTATATATCTATATATATCTATATATATATCTCTATATATATATATATATATTGCTACAGCTATAGTTAGCGCAGTTAGGGTCAGGGGCCTTAGTGAGCCGCACAGCTTGCGGCCGCAAGCGGCGGTAGCAGGGGCCATGTCTCCTCGTTCCTGCTTATGACTTGCCCGATTTGGGGCAGAGAGTCGCGCCGAGATATTCGGGCCCGTTCTTGCGTCAAAGGGTTCTTAAAGTGCCACCACGGTCAGATGTCACCCAGCTTGTGCACAACCTTGTTGAGTTCAGGAGTATCATATTTCGAGAGGGTAGCAGTAAACCCCAGAGCCCATTTTGCCAGTGGGTTTACAAGGCCAACCTAGGTTTCCAGATTGGCCGTCGTCTTAGAAATGCGGCTGCCGGCACTCCCGACAGAGTTCCCGCCTTGTATAACCCTAAGCCCCGTAAGTAGGTTGTTCGGTGGTATTCGGTTTTTCGTTGTTTCCCAGAGACTCCAATATCCCTTAATTAAGGAATATACCTTAAAATTATAATAGGCTCCCTCGTAAGATTTAAGGTCTATTCCTTAATTAAGGAATATGGGAGTCTCTGGATCATCTCCCCTATAAACCCTATAAAACCCTATAAAACCCTACATAACCCTATAAAACCCTATATAACCCTATAAAGCCCTAAACCCTAAACCCTAAGGTCCTGTTCTAACTGTTGCTTTTGGCTTCCTGGTATCTCTGGGAAACCCTGAACCCTAAACCCTAAAAACCTAAAACCTTACAACCCTAAAACCCTAAACCCTCACGTTTTTTGCTTTTGGATTCCTGGTATCCAGGCAACACCGAGGGGGAGACCCGAGGCAACTTCTTGGAACCCGACGCCTCTCGTGCCTCGGCACTTTAGGCACTTTAGGGACTTTAGGGCTTGTAGGGCTTATAGGGTTTATAGGGCTTATAGGGTTTTCCCTCTCGTGCCTTGGCACTGCATCTGGAAACTACTCTGCTCCTTCTCCCTCTCTCCTTCTCTCTCTCTCTCTCTCTCTCTCTCTCTGTGTCTCTCCCTCTCTCTTTCTCTCTCTCTCTCTCTCTCTCTCTCTAAGGCCCTAAACTCTCTCTCCCTCTCTGTCGCTCTCACTGTCTCTCTCTTCATCCGGCTCTTCACAAGAGATGCTGGAAGTTTGAAGTGACACTGTTGAAGTCTGCTGCTGGAACGGGGCTCAGGACCTGTTTAGAGGCCCCTATACAAAAACTTGTGAAGCCCTTGTTACACCCCAAACCCTGTAGAACTCTTTCCGGATACCTTACCGGAATGTTCCACTCCCAGGTTGCGAAGAAGAGCTGAAGCTGCTCAAGAGGAAGATACAGCACAGCTGCGAGGAGGACAGCGCCGGGGCGCCGGGAAGGTGAAATGTAGAAGCCTGAAATATTTTCCTATGGGTTTATACTACATAGTTGACGTAGTACATCTCAAAGCCCTGTTCTGAATACTAAGGCCCCTAGGCTATGAAGTAGGCAATGGCCATTTCCCTGGTCCTCTTAAGTTCAACAGTAAGGAGCCCTAAGCCCTAAATCCATTGAAAAAGCCCTCAAACAACATAGCGCCATAACCCCTCAAAACCTAAAGAGCTATAAACCCTGCAGTCGCAAAAAGCAAAAAGCTTCTGAGGACCAGCAAAATGGCAAGACGGTTTCCGACGGCGGCTGCGAAGCGGAGGTCGGAGAAATGCACAAAAGCGAGGATAATGTATGGGTCAGAATAATTAGCGACAAGATCCCGATTATAGGCCCCATGTACTTGCCTTTCTGTATTACACCCTAAACCCCAAACCCCATGTACTTGCCTTTTTGTATTAAACTCTAAACCCCATGTACTTGCCTTTCTGTAATATACCCAAAGCCAGTTCCAAGGCCCTTTTCTGTCCGGATGACCCCCACTTCCCACCTCTCTGCTATAGGCCCAAAACGCTCCACTCACACGACTACGCTCGATTAGATCCTCAATGGTTTAGTTTAAAGGGTTTATAGGGTAAATAACCAGATTTCTGCACCAAAGGTTTCCTGTGCCCTAAACCCTAAAGCCCTAAACCCTAAACCCCCAAAGCCCTAAACCCACACTCCTCACAGGCGCAAGCCGTTGTCAGCGATGGGGACTACGAGATCTGGAGCCAGAGCTTGCTCAGGTGCAGTCAGGCACCTCGCCGCCTTTTTCTACGAATGGAGTGTCCTTTTAGGGTTTTAGGGTTCAGGGTCTAGGATTCAGAAACCTTGGGTATGTAACTGTATGAGGGTTCTTTATATGGCACCTCGCCGCCTTTGTCCACTAATGTGGGGGGGGGCCTTCAACAGTTAGAACAGGATTGCTTTAAGCTATGAGGGTTATTATAAGGGTTCTATAAGGGTATATAATGTAGGGGCCGTCATAGTTGGAATAGAGGGTTTTGGGGGGGCCCATGATGCCATCATTAGAACCAGGGTCTCAAAGGGATATGAATATAGGATCCTGATTTGTGGTGTCCTTTTAGGGTTTAGGGTTCAGGATTAAGAAACCTTGCGTCTCCACTAAGGTTCTTGAAATGGATCCTAATACGTAGGGGTTGTAGGAACAGGGTTTCTTAATCAGGTTCCTGCATTAGTCGTTGGACCCTTGCCCTAACCTAAAATAGGGCCGCATGGGCCCAAATTGAAGATATTTAGACTTATATAGGATATACTGGAGGGTAGATGGACCGTCCACGTCTGAATGCTTAGCCAAAGCATCCCTTTGTAGCCACTGTAGTCCCCCGATAATTATACTAATCAACAAACTCCCCTCATCGAAAGGTCCGTTTTAAAGCGAAGCTTCGTCTTCCTCTTCTGGGCCGCCTTAAGTCTAGGACATTTTCAGGTGGGTAGTTACCAAGGTCTATATCCTAAAAACTCCCCACCTGTAGCTTCCTTGAACTCAAGGACAAGACGCACCTCCTACTCTGGAGTGGCTATCAAGACGACGAGCGAGAAGCAGTCCTTCGGCCACTGCGAGAACAGGGCGGCTGTGTCCTGTCAAGCCAGGACGGGCTTCTGACAACTTGGCCTTTTCGAATATACGTCACATGATATATTTTAAGAATCCTCTAGAAAGTAGTCACAAGGTCCATTGCTTAATTGAGGGGTTTGTCGAAATCTCTGTCTTCTGAGGAGATTGAGTCGGCTGCACTTATCTCTCCTTGCAGGGTTCGTGAGATAGCTGCCCAGAGACTCCAATATCCCTTAGTCAAGGAATATACCTTAAATCTTACTAGGGTTCCTATTATAATTTCAGGGTCTATTCCTTAATCAAGGGAACTACAAAACCCTATAAAAACCCTAGAAAACCCGGGTTGGTTGCATTTGGGGCGCGTGGACACGCGTTCGTTGCATTTGGGGCGCGTGGGCGTTCCATGGCCTCAACAAGTTATATAAGTTCTAACAGTTGTATAACTTCAACAAAAGTTCTAAAAGTTCTACAAGTTTTAAAAGTTCTAAAAGTTGCAAAAGTTCTTAAAAGTTCTAAAAGTTCTACAAGTTCTTTTCTAAAAGTTCCAACAGTTCTAACAGTTTTAAAAAGTTCTAAAAGTTCTAACAGTTCTAAAAGTTCTAAAAGTTCTAAAAGTTCCAAAGTGGTAGCCTAGCTCTGCGTGCGTAGTGTTTCACTGCCGTAGGCTCTAGGCTCAAGGGTGACCATGAGGGTCGCTCTAGTTTTCCTAGGAGCCCTGGTCCGCCCCTTAGGAGGGTTATGGCCCTTCCTTTCGGGCGAGGAAAACACCGCGTGCGACAAAGCAGGCACATGCCCCCGAGAGGGGGTTGAAGATGAACCTTCCCGTGGCTCGAGCTCGAGCCCGGGAGCGCATTATTGGTGGTTCAACTGGACGTGGGATTCAGAGCCACCCCCACCCCAGAGTAATCCTCCCACTGCAGAAGGGGGTGCTCGGTGGTGGTATGTGCGAGTATTAATGGTCTTCCTATGGGAAATCTGGGAGGGCGGCCTGACGTGGTGTGGTACACTTTGTGCCTCAATCGGACTGGCCGCTCGCTGGACTTATTGGTTGGCCACTGCCACCATCATATTGGGAACCCTGCAATTGACCTATTGGTCCTTCGTCTGGGTGATTAGACCCATCTTGATAGTGGCCTACGCACTGACCCGTTACGTACTAGGACATGGATCCTGGGAAGCTGTACTTCGTGGTAGCGGGGAACTCCCGTACGAGGTCAAGTGGGTGGGGCCGCGAGGCCAGCAACCGTGGGCCGTGAACTATGTGCAAGATCAAGTTCGAGGCCGAGGAGAACAACAGCTGCCTTACGACCTACTGGTCACAGATGGTGTGGCCGTTGCGCGGCTGAGACACGGCGCGATACGGGGACGAACCAACCGGCACGGATTTCTCTGTCGGTGTGACAGCGTGCACGGCTCCTCGCACCGCTATTGGAGACGCGCAATCGAACGTACGCAATGCGTAGTGCACTTGTGCTCCTCGTACCCCTGCACAGCACCGGAAGTAGCAGAATTGCATGTGGGAGCGAGTGGGGTCGTCCCCCAACATGTGGACGTTGACCTACATGAACTAGCAGGTCGGGGTCCTTTTTGCAGGGCTCTTTTTGCGTCCCGTTTTATGGCCCTTAGGAGCATCTTGAGTTTAAGCGCTGGGCTGCGGGCCACTGTGCGAGCTGTTACCTCATGCTGCTGCTGTCCACGTGCAAAACACCCGAGGCGCGTTTCGCGACCGGGTCGAGAGGAGGAACAGACCCCTAGGCACGACCTCTCGGAGACCGAATCCGAGGAAGATGAGAATCCTTGCCAAGCGGATGCCATAGGCTGGAAGGAAGGTTCGCAGGTTAAGCGGTTGAGCAAAGAGAGATGCAACGACGCTGCCTGTGGATGGGTCCGGCTTATGGGCGACGACGCCCACCAGAGTAGCTCTAATGAACTTACATGGGATGGCTTACAGGCTAGCTGTCAGCTATGCGCCCGACACAAGGAGAGTTATGAACTCTCCAAGGCCCGCAGGTCATGTTCCGTAGAAGGGTGCGAAAAGGCCGCTCAGACCCTGAGAGGGGGAGTAAGGCTGTGTCGGTTCCATGCAAGCAAGGAAGAAAAGCCAACAGCGCCCCGTAACGCGACTGGGCCCGGGCGGCCTCGAGCCACTGGTCCTACGGAATCAGAACCTAAGCGCGCTTCCAGCCGTGGCACGGATCGTGCCCGGCCCCATTCTCAGGACGTGACCCCCCGGCGCAACGCTACTCCTGGCCAACTTGAGGCTCGGGGTATATCTTCCCCACCCCGGCTAGACTACACTGCAGCACCCCGGCTGGAGACAGGCTTGGAGATGCCGGCTGTTGAAGACCGTGTGCTGCAAGGTCTCACTTGGGAAGAAATTGCCGGTATACCTGATGAAGACCTGAGACGGAAAGCGGTCTCTCTGAAAAAGGCGGCGACAACCCCTGAAAGCAACCAGCTCCCGTCTGGGGCGCCAGAGCCTCCTGCAGAGCCCGCGTTGTATGCCTATCTAGATTCCCGTATGAGAGGTAGCTCGCATGCCACGGCACTCAGCCAAGCTGCAACGGGACGATGGAGCTACGCGGAAGGGGCACAAAGACTGAAGGAGGCAGCCCGGAAACATTGGGCTCAACTGCCAAACGACTCGCCTCCCTCCATACGCCAGTACGTTTGGGAGTTGGCGCAGTCTGGAGCGGAAAGACCAGCCAACGGGGAAGGCGCCGGAGGGGGCCTGGGAGAACCCCAACACCCGTGGATACCACACTCGGCGAGCATGAGGGGGCCGCCGGCGAGTGGAACCGACCTGTGGCCCGCTTCGGCCCGGGTGCTTTCGCCCAGAGTTCGCTCATACGCGACGACAGGACCCTAGGGGAAACTAGGACCAAGCCCGAATCTCTCTTTAGGGCAGCTCCCAAGGAAGACCCCCTTCGCTTGCCGGACGCAGCCGGAGCCCTAGCGAACGCCACCCGGGCGTTTAGGGCAGGGTCGTACACCGACGGAGAACCACCTGCCAGTGATGAGACAGCGAGAGCTTTACAAGCAATAGCTAAGAGTCTCACTTCGAAAGAAGATTCCCTCGCACAAGAGCGCGGGAAACTTTCGTCAATAGGCCGTCTGGAAGAACGCTTAGTGTTCTTGCTCAGGGGGTGTGACACCCTTCGGGTCACGCTGTGTCCCGGGGTGGTCGGGAAGGAATTGTACCACGCGTTACGCATCGCGGGAACGCAAGCTCGACCACAGTTGCGACGCATCGAGTTTCCATGCAATATCCAGAACCGACATAGTTACGGCTTTGCCGCCCTGCAGCTGGGTGGAAAGACCTTGGCGACGATCCCCGACTACTGCCTGTCGGCTGGCGACTTTCCTTTGACCTCGGAGGAGGATTTCGACAATTTCGGGGGCACCCCCGACCTGAAGCTCGAAAAGAAAGGGAGATACCCCAACACCCTCACCTCCTGGTTTCGCGCTGCCCTGCGAGAGGCCTGGGCTTTCTCTTGCATCTTTGGTGAAGAGTATTATGCGCCTTTGGAAAAGGCAGCGTCACACTTGTTGCGCCTGGGCGAGCAGCATAGCTACGCATGGACTGCGACGGCAGTGTACAGCGCTTGGGAGGAGCTTTGGGCACGGTTCTGTGAAGAGGCGAGGGAGCTAGACCGGCGTGTGCGACGGGAAATGAAAGACGAGAACCCTACGTTCGCCAGGTTGAAGTTCTTCGCTTTTGCACTGACATGCACTGGCATGCTGCCGAGAATGCAGAGACAGTTGTCCCGGGCGTGCTGGTCGGGAGCGCAGAAGCGAGGTGGCGTCGTTCCCTCGGGGGGTCGGGCAGCGGGCACGGACCAGCACGCCGAGGCTCGATCCGAGCCCGGCCGTAGAGCTGAGTCCGCGACTGCTCGGCCGCGATCCGAGGCAGATGGCGATCGCGTTGCTGGGAGCAAACCGGAGGCAGAGCGTTCGGGAGGTCGGACCACCCCCGAAGCACCGCCCAAATTGCTAGGGCCTTCCCTCCACCCACGGGAAGCAGCACGGTCCCTTGACCACCGACCCAAGGATGCGCAAGGCCAGTACCTGTGCTGGGACCACCTGTGCCACCGAGGATGCACCAAGGGAGGAGCATGCCCGCACTCACACAAGAGTGTGCCTAAGTGGAGCGGTCTCGACTATAGCGTTCAACTGCAGTTGCTTCGCCGCGGAGGCCTTAAAGGCTCTAAAGCCAAAAGTGCCGCCGACGTTGAAAGGGAATTCACGCGTATCCGGGCCGAGCAAGCCGCGAAGGCTTCAGCCGCCAAGCAGGAAGGCATTGACACCGCTCGCGCAACCGCCAAAGCTAAGGCCCATAGTGGGGCGGGAAGCCGTGACGCGTCTAGAGCAGGGGAGCAAGTCGACCATAGTGTTGACGACCTTCGTGACCTCCACCNNNNCCGACCAAGAAGGCGTCTTGGGCGAGCTGTTGAAAGACGCCGGTAAAGATTGGTGGGTGGACACGGACGCTCAAAGCGCGACGCTCGTGCGACCTAGTGAGCCCTTCAGGGACACGTCTCGAGCCGAGGCCATGCGCGAAATTGACGCTGATGAAGGCCGTCTGGGCGCTTATCCGGACGGGCTGCTAGGCATCTACCTGCGGAACCGGTTGCTGCGCCTTCGTGAAGACACCGGGTCCCCGGCCCAGCCTGAGGACGTTACGCGCCTCCTTGAGGAAGCAGCCGATCGAGGTGGCCCGGAGCTCGCCGACGCGGCTGCACAACTGCTGGAAGAAAGAGGTCTCCCGCGCAAGGCCGGGGAGTTGCCTGCCGTCCAGCTCTCGCCCATTAGCTGGGATGCGGCCATTGGGGCAGGCACTCTTTCTTGGGAGGGCCACGGCCAGTGGGCCATGTTCGATTACAGGGACCAACTCCGGTTGGACCCAGCCGCCTGCCAGGCGTTGGGTTTCGCGGACGCCGCCGCCGAACCCAAGCAGTGCCTTCTTTTACATGTTGCGGCTGCCTACCTGAGCAAGCCTGGAGGACCATTGCCCGATGAGGCTGCTGTTCAAGCGCAAGCCCTTTCATGGCGCCTCTGGTGGGCAAAGCAGGCGCGCGTTGCCGAGGATTCGCTTGGACCCGTTCCTTCCCGTTTATCTCAGGCAGAGGCAGACGTTCGGGTTTTTCACCATGATCTTCTTCACTTTGGTCACGATCGAGACTATACCGCACCTTGGTTGCGCACCCGCTCGAGGAGCTCGCAGGCTTCGGTCTCGCGGTGCTGCGCCTAGACGCCTACCTCCGGCCTTCCGTTGAGGTGATCTGCGGTGCGCGTTACAAGGGTGATGCGGCCGCCACCCGCTGGGTTCTTATTCACAAGGGCCATATGCGGTTGTTGCGCCCGGACTGCCCGCGCGCTCCTCCGCTCGGCAGCCGTGAGTTGGACGCTGTTGGCTGGGAAGCCTACCTTGAGGCCGCGGGCGACGCCCCCCTGCTCGACGCCACTTCTCTTCTGCAGTGCCACGTGTGCCACCCGCGCCGCCAGCCTGGCTCCTTTCGCACTGGTCGCGAGGCGGGGGCCTTTGGGTTACAGGAAGTGCGCACCGTCTCGGCCAAGGCTGGTGCCGTGGCTCGGTTCGAGCCCGGTGGACCCAGCCCTGCTGCTCTCGCTCCTTGGGCGGCACGCGCTGGCCTGCCTTCGGCGGGGTCTGCCGTGCCTCTTTTGCTTCTGGGAGTGCCGGGCCTGCAGCCGGCTGGCGCCGCAGTGGCGCCTGTTCACGATGCTGCTGACCTACAAGAGGCTATCGCCTATTTGGGCGAGGGCGGCGTCGATCTTCTCTGGTTGCTTCCGGACTGCTTGCTCCAGGGGCCACCCCACCAACTTTGGCAGCCGGCGCTGCAGCTCGCTGCTATCCACTTGCAAGCGGGTGGGCGGTGCGTGGTTGAGGCCCCGCTCTATCGGCGGGCCTGGTCGGACAAGTTTGCGCGCGCCCAGCTTGCCGGGGCTCTCTGGCATGCAGCGCGCCAGTCCGGGCCTGTCCTTGGGGCCTCCGGCCCGGGTCTCACGATGCTCCGCTTCTCGTTCGCGATGCCCCCGGGCCTCTCTCCTGTGTTGGATGCCTTGGTGGCCCGGCGCCTCTCGGCTGTTAGGGAGGGGGGGGCCGGAGCGCATGCAAACGCAAACGTGGAGGGGGAAGAGGCAGGAGCTCACGCAAACGTTGAAGTGGAAGAGGCCAACCAAGAGCTCTGGAAGGAACTCCAATTGCGAAGCCCCCAGGCGCCTGCGGCTGAAGAGGGGGACTTCAATGCGCACACAGCTGAAGAGGGAGACGTCAATAGTAGGTGTGGAAGGCTCTTCCCTGAGGCAGGGCCGTCGCAGGGCCCACCACCTTCGTGGCTCCCCGCTAGCCTGACACCCAAGGTTGAAAACGCCACGTATCGCTATCTTGACGCGGTCCAGGATGTCAAGTATAGCTTGGAGGCTTGGAACAAGGCAGTAGCCGCAGGAACAGAGTTGCTGCGAACTTGTGGCGGATGGCGCTCCGCGGTCGGCGCTCTCCGACGCGGATGGCGAGACAGAGGAGGAGACCACTTCGCTGGACTCTTCGACAGGCGCCTTGATGACCATTTGCCGAATGACCTTCTGACTTGGGTGCGCAAAGTGGCGCAGGAAGGGGTGGACGCTAATTACCGTGGCACGCAGCGTGCCCGGGTGCAAGCAATGCCCCACCCGTCGCTTAAGGACCACGTTGAGGAAGCAAGGCAACTGATTTGGACTGACGCCTCGCGCGGCAGAGTGCTGCTTATGAGCCCCGAGCCAGGGGAGGAGGCCCTCCTGGAAGGAGTCGTTTCGGTACCCCTTGCACGGGTACCCAAATATAATCCCGACAGGTCGGTGTCCGAAAAGGGGAGGGTCATCTGGGATGCGCGGGTCGTGAACGAGCTCTGCAGCAAGGACGACCACTTCCCAGCCGCCCAACCGAAGCATGCTGAGGTCGTGAGGCTGATTGTCTGGTACCAAACGCGGTACCCCGGAGTCCGGATCCTCCTCGCCAAGAAGGACATCTCGGAGGCTTTCAAGTGGCTCTGGGTCACACAAGAGGACTGTCGATTGTTCGGTGCCGACTTACCTGGGGAGCCCACTGAAGACCACCGAGGCGCGCCTCCGCGCCCGGTGACTGTGCTATATCTAGCCATGACGTTTGGGTGGACAGGGGCGCCGGGTGAGTTTATGGCTTACGCTTGGGCGGTCAAGTTACTGCATCGTGCGTGTCGCCCAGACCGAGCAGAATGGCATGACTCCTCTGCCTTTAGGTCCCTGGCACTCATGGACGACTCAGTTGTGATTGAGCCAGACCTTGGGCTGCGTCCCCAGATATCCATGGACGCCCTGGAGGCCGCCATCAGGCAGACTCTCGGGCCCCTGGCCATGAACGCTGATAAAGATGTGGAGGAAGGAGCTCTTACCACCCGCAAACTCATATGGGGCCTAGAGTTCGACACCGAGGCGGGCACCTGCCGCCTTCCCCCGCTGAAGGTGGAAAGGGCCTACCACATCCTTCAATCGGGGTTTTTTGACGCGGGCCAGCGGGAAGTGCCTCTACGAGAGGTCCAGGTATTGCGCGGCTCGCAACAGTTTTGGCTGGGAGTTCTTCCCCAGCTGGCACCCTGCTTGCGAAGCACCAACGCCTTACTGGGACCACCTGACGAAAAGGGTCACGTTGTGATGAGAGGCTCTCCGCAGGAGCAAGAAGACCAGTGGGCAGCTTTTTGGGACGCCATAGAGTTACAGCGCCTGCTAGTAGGTTCGCGCCAATTCTGGGAGACACGCTTTACCTCTCAGCTCGACTACCCCCGAGCTAGTCGCCCTGCCAGAGATCCAAAGAAAACTGGTCTGGGTCTCAGCCGACGCCACGCCCACGCGACTCGGCGCGATTGATTGGACTGGGCGGGTTGCTCTCGCTTGCGAGGCTGCTCCCCTCCTTCTGCCCCTGGCACGTCCGCGTCCAGGTTCCGAGGAGGCTGACTCCGTGGCTCGGTTCGAGCCCGGAGACGACCTCGTGCAAGTTGGGGTCGCCGAGCTCCTGGCTCTATTGGTGCTCGTTGTCGCGCGCAAGGAAGAGTGGTCAGGTAGTGTCATCCTTTACCTGGGCGACAACACCAATGTGCAAGACTGGCTGCTCCAGAGGCAGGCAGGAAACTCCCAGGCAAACTTCTTGTTGCAGGTACTGGGTGCCCTGGAGGGCGTCCACGGCCTGCACGTTCGGGGGGCCTACCTGCGGACGTACCACAACCGATCGGCTGACGACCTGACCCGCCTTGAACCTGGAGAAGTCATGAGGAGCCTTGGCCTCAAGAGGATCGAGGTCCCCTCTGATTGGAGTAGGGTCCTGGAAGAAGCTTGGGTCAAACGAGCCTTGCTGTGGCTCGGTCAACCAGAGGCAGACCGAGGCATAGCGCTGCAGCTGGCTGAAAGGCGAGCAGGCCCGCAAGTGCCCAAAGCCCTGCCGGCTTTGCGCTGGAGAGTGTGGGAAATGAGCCAGCAAGCCCAGGGAATCTATGAGCGAGCCTTTATCTCCCACGGGGGGACCCTGGCACCGCGAGGGGAACACGACCCTGAAAGTAGTTTGTGCGTGGCCGCTTCTGTGAGCGGCGAGGCAGAGGCTCGCCGGATCCTCGGTGCGGTCCCCTCTGAGGCCGAAAGTATCTGGATCGACTCCTTTCGCCCCTTGCCCCTGGACGCCCTGAGATCGGCCAACCACGCCGACGAGTGGGAACTGTGGGGTCAAGAATATGATGGCCGTTCGTTTCAAGACCAGGTGTGGTGGAAAAGATGGGTCATCGCGGGAGTCCGCAAGGGGTCTCAAGGAGGGTTCGAGGAGTTTCTCCGAGGTAAAAGAGCCGAGCTTGAACCGTGCACCCCCCTCCTCCACACGTACGCTACTCACTGGGTTGACCCTAAGCCCAAGCATGGATGGGTTGCCGGAACGCTGCGTCTTGACCCTACCTTCCCTTTCCTCGGGCCCAGATCCCCCAAGCCCTGTGGGACGATCCGTACCCAGGGAGGTGAACGTGCTCTTGTGTGGGATCCTACCAAACCCCTCCCGCCCCTCCACGAGAACTCTTGGGAGGTCACTAGGACTGACGCGCTCCACCTGCTTAGTCACGGGGAGGGGGGAGTGCAGGTCAGGGTGGTCCAACCCCGGAGGTGTTCAAGCTGCTGGGAGGGAGAGGATGGCACGCCTCAGAGGACGCCCACCAGGATGCTCTCGCCCTCCTCACTGCCCCTCCGTACGCTTTAGCTTCCTTTGCTGCACAATGGGTCGGGTTGGTACCCCCCGCGTCTAAAGAAGTTTCCTCCCGCAGCCGTTTAGGTTCTGAAGAAGGGAAGGGCGGGCCAGGAGAGCTCACGTCCGAGCCGAAAGAGCGGTCGAGGACTGGCGCCTGCCACCTAGCTTGGGAGCGAGAGACCGAAGAGCTGGTCAAGCGCTGGCTAGCCGAGCACCTGGCAGCCCCGACCCGGGCAGGTGCCATGAGTCAGTGGGGCACTGGAGGCTCCCGAAAGAAGGAGGAGAAGGCGCGGCGCCTCCGTGGCTCGTTTCGAGCCCGGAGTGATGACGACCGGCGCCGGCTAGTCAAGATCCTTCGCCACGAGGCGCACCTCCTAGAGATCCCTATGAGGGAGGATGGTTGGGTCTCCCTGCGAGACCTCAACTACTACGTGGGGACCACCAGCCGGGAGGACTTAGAGGCCTTAGCGGGCAGGGATACGAAGCAACGGCTGGTGTTGTACACAGACCGCGAAACTTGGATCGCGGCGGAGAGCGGACACACCATATCAGGAGTGGTGGGGCCGGGCCGCGAGTTGAGCGCTGCTGAGGTACCCACCCTCTTGGTCCACGGCAGTTACGCCGAGCACACCAACTCGATCTACCGCCGAGGGCTCCAGGCGCGGAGGGCAATCCACTTGCTGGAAGTGGGGTCGAGACATGGACGCTGGCGTGCCGACCTCGAGACAGCTGTGTTCGTGAGAGCACAGGCGGCCGCTGCAAAGGGTACAAGGTTTCTGCTGACGACCAACGACTTGTACCTGGCGCCGCAGGGAATCCCAGCGTCCTTCGTGGAACAGATCGTGCCTTGGCGGTCGGGGCCAGTCCCCCACCTCCCCATCACCCGGACGGAGGCCTTGGAGTCCGAAGGACAACGAGCCGCGGGTCGGGGGGAGGAAAGCAAGCACCGAAGGAACCGGTCGCCGGCTAGAGCCAGTGCCTCTTCTGGCTATGGGGTTCCTGGGCGCGACGCCAACGCTCCCGCGCTGGATGTGGGGCCGTTTCCAGCTCTCTCACCGCCTGAGGAAACCGCGCGGCTCTCCGTCGCGGGAGAAGGTCTTGCCGACGCCGCCAGCACTACAGCCACGCCCACCGCGCCTGGCACAGGGACTGCGACCCCAGGTCAACCCTCGAACCCCGCGCCCGAGCCCACCGTGGCTCGTTCCGAGCCCGGTGAGGCCAGGGCACAGGGCGAAGCTGAGCCTTCCCTGGAGGCCATCCCGTGGTCCGAAGGTGCACGCACGCTGCTCCCCCTTGTCCAACAACTCCTTTCGGAGGGGATGCCGGAATTGTATGAACTGCTAGGACGGTTAGATTGCTTAGGCGCCGCCTCTTCAATACGCCGTGTTCGCGACCAAGGTGACATACCAGGTTGCACGACACCTTCCACAACCCGGTCGAAGGTGGTGCGGCGGAGCTCGCTGTGGGCAACTGGGTCCTGGCTTTCTGCGGTGTCTTGCTCGAGCCCACCATGGCAACGCACTGGACGGGCCGTAACGACGACGCGGCCGGCTCCTTCATGGAGAGCTGGGTGGTCACGCTCCGGCAGGCCTCTGACCCCACCAGCCGGAACCTGCTCGAAGAGTTTGTCCGATTTGGCGAGCTAGCCCACCGCTTGATTAAGCCGCTGTGCCAAGTGAAGCAAGTCTATGACTTGCTTGCTTGGAGGAAAGGCCGTAGGTACTGTCTCAGCCTTCTAGACCAGTTGGCCGGACCCCTCTTCGCGCCCGAAGCCTCTGGAGGCAGCGCAGGCCCTGCTAGCTCTGACGCCCCCCCAGGCCGTGGCGCGATTCGCGCCCGGCAAGGAAGAAGACGTTCAGGGCCACTGGGGCACCAAAGAGGAAGGCGAGCCGCTTGAAGTTCTTGCGAAGACGGCACGCGCCTTGGGAGAGGTCGCGGCAGAAGCTCCGGAAGCCGTCGCGGTAGCGGTCACCCCAGGCACTCTAGAAGCAGAGTTAGGGGTGGAAGAGCCCGACTGGTCAGGAGACGAATCCCCTGACATCCCCGTCACTATCGCGAAAACCGAGACCGACGAGGAAATGCCCGCTGCCGAGGAAGCAGCTGGCTCGACGGCACCCAGGCGGCCAAAAAGGGTTGTTTTGGCCACGGGCCAACTGGCCCTCCTGCGGGCCCTTGCTGCCGCTAACGCCAGCAACTGGGCAGACATCCAGTGGACCCTCAAGGAGACCCCTGGTGAAGCTGAAGACAAGGAGGACCTCGTCAACAACCTCTCTGACCTCGCAGCCACTTACGCGAAGAACCGAGCAGAGTGTTCGAGAGCCGCGGCGCTTAAGGCGGAGAAGCTCGCGGACCTCGAAGGGGAGGAGGCTGAATACCTGGCCGCGCTTCCCCCGCACCTTTTGGAGTTGGAACGTAAGAACCCGGTCAGGCCGAGCCTCTCCACGCACCTGGGTTGGGTCGAACACGAGCGCTTCAAGAGGGATGCTGAGGTCGCGGGCGTGTGGATGGCTCGACGCCGCGAAAAATCTAGGCTACGGGCCGCCAAGCACAGGGCGAGCCAACAAGCTGAGGCATCGGGCAACACTGCCCAGGACCCGGTGTCAGACCGGGCAGACGCCGGCGCCCACCTGAGCTTCCAACTGGGGGAAGCAGCCCGGGAGTCACTGCGAGAGTTCAGGGCCGAACTAAGGGCGGGGGCACTCGACGTGCCGTTCCGTGCTGGAGACGTTCCCAAGCGAAAACCAGAGTCCTCACGACGTAGGAAGCTCAAGTGGCAGCGCTTCAGCAAAAAGGTCAAGTCTAAGTACGACCCCCGCGAGTCGGAACAGAACCACCCTTACGCCCACCTGGACGTTCCAGCCTGCAAGTCGAGTTCCGCCTGTGGGCCAGCCCCGCCGTGGCTCGTTTCGAGCCCGGCGAAGTATGACCCCACCGACACCGACCGCAATCACCCCTTTGCACAGGCCACTTGCCGGCCTGATGAAGCGCCGAACGGCCTCGAGTGGGAAAGAGGCTTCCACTGGGGAGTCCTATGCGCCTTGTTTGCAGGGACACTGCTATGGGCTGTGATTTGGTGCTGCTGCAGAGTCTGCTGCCGCAGTAAAGAGGCCGCGGAAAGTCGAGGGACTCCGCCTCGACGACGGGGGGAAACCCCGGCTTCCGCAGCTCCGAAGCCACCGCCCACTATGCCACCTTGGGTGGCTCCAGGGCCTAGGCAACCCTTACCCCCTCCTCCTTCACCGCCTGACACCACCCTCGTTACTACAACGAGGGGAAGGGCCTACCATAGGAGGGGATGCATACACGTTCGAGGGCACGAAACGAGGACTTTCCGCCCATGCTTAGTGTGCCAACCCCACGTGATGCTGCAAGAAGAAGACACCCGGGTGAGACTTCAAGCCCTGGATCATGACGATGCTCAGCGTGACACCAATCACGCCATTGCGCACCTCTCGTGGTGGCTGGGCGTGCTTTTGGTGGGAGGCATGAGCTTGGGCTGCCTGGCCCTCAGCCGTTGGGTGCTGCCGTGGCGCGCTTCGCGCCCGGCACACGACCCACGGTACTTGAGAGCAGGCGGTCTGGAAAGACGTGTAAGATTCAACCTGTCATCTGACATCGATTCGGAGGCAGAAAGAAGAAGGACGCCGATGCCCGAAGGCACTGATACCAACAGCAGCCTCACGACTCGTCACCACCGCAAGAGGGGCCGCCACCCCCTGGTAGCTTCCCAAGGAAGTTCCCCCCGTGCCGCCAAGCGGGCCTACCCAGACAACGGCCCACAAGCCGGAGTACTCCCTGCGAACGCGTGGGCAAGGGAAAGCCTGAAGCTCGTTCGGGACCACCTCTCTCCGGCGACGCAACGTCTGTATGATAGCCACTGGCGATGGTGGGAACTTTTCACCAGAAGGAGAGGTGTTTCTGCTCTTCGCACCGTGGATCGCTTCGATCCCGGTGAAGAAGCGCTTTTCCTCGATTATCTGGTGTATCTGTTTGTGGGACAGGGGCTTGCGGCCTCCACGGCGCAGGCCCGATTAGGAGCGATCCGCAGCGTCCACCTGCAGCTCGGTTTCCCCGACCCGCTCAAACCGCTCCCGCGGCTTCTTCTCGCTCTCGAAGGAATCCGCAGAAGGAGAGGACCGATCACGAAACGCAGGCCAGTCACCCCATGCATGTTGGCGCGAGCCAACAACGCCCTTCCTCTTGACCTGTGGGGACGAGGCCTTTCCTGCGCGTTGCAGCTGGGGTTCTTCTTTCTGCTGCGAGTTTCGGAAATCGTGGGAGGGTCAAACCCGCGGCTGGGACTCCGGGTTAAAGACGTGGCGCTCTTTCGCGGAGGGAAGCAGCTGCGCCATCCGTCTTTTGAGCAGGCAGACGAGGTGCAGATAGTGGTGAGAGCATCCAAGACTGACCCGGAAGGGGAGACTGCCACAAGGAACCTGTACCGGAGCGGTGCCGAAGTGTGCCCAGTGCTCGCCACGGCCAGGTACATGGTCTTGCTGTGGAAGGAGTTTGGCGAACCAGCGCCAACCTCCAAGTTTTTCCCGCACTTGTCAAGGCAGGACATACAAGAAGTTCTGCAGACAGTGGCGGCCTCACTTGGAGAAGAGCCGCAAGCCTACACCCCTCACTCGCTCCGGTTTGGAGGAGCCTCAGCCATGTGGGCGGGAGGGTTTGACTCCTACGTCTTGAGAGCGTGGGGTCGCTGGAACTCCGATGCTTTTTTGGCTTATCTCTGGACGTCTCGTAAGGCGTCGGCAAACACAGCAGCCCGGATGGCCGCGGCGGACATGACGCCAGTCAGAGGCTT